GCCCTGGCCACAGGGGTCTCATGGCCAGAACGTCATCAAAAGCTCTATCAAACTCTATAAGCTGGTTTTGCCCAGGCAGCCTGTCTCTGCACCATTTGAACAAGAAGCGGGGATTGAAACCTACAGGTCATCCCCAAACACACAGTAGACAGAGGAACAAATGAAACACCAGTGGACTCTTATTATTTTATAGGAGTCCTTCTGTGCCCTGGGAGCCAACCCATTCCATCTGCCCAGGCATTCCAACTGTTCCCCAGTTTGAGTCACGAGACATCTCTGCTTCGGGCTGTACCCTTTCTTTACTGACCACCGGTCCTGATACCAGCTCAGAACAGGGAAAGGCCCCTACCGTGAGCTTAGGACTCATCCTCCAAGAACTGTCCTTTACCCCGGAAAGATGTTTTCAGTACTTGTAGTGGCATTCACTTAAAAACTGATTACAGATATACATATTTTTTCATAAATAAAATTTGAGGCATATAGGTAATATATTAAAATTTTCACCAACAAGGATGTGTTAAAAATTTCAAGTTCCGTCATTCAAGTTCAATAAAGGCACACATTTTTTTTTCTTCTTCAGGCCTGCAAAGAATACAATTGTTAGTCATAAGTCACAAAAGACCTTTTCTGGGGCTTTTTTCCTTTGATTTTCATTTTCTTGGGACAAGCATTCACCCCACCCATCAGTGGCATGAATCCACCACCCAAGGAAAGTATTTAGAGGCACAGAGAGTTTTCAGTAGATTCCAGGATTGTGTCAGGTTTCAGGGTGACAGACCCCAGCTGTGCCGGGTCAGTCACCCAGGTAGGCTGTGGCCGTCTCAGTTAAGGCTTCTCGCTCCCGAATCGGGCTTTCCGGCTTCCAGGTTCCGATGCCCTCCGGACCAGCCTCGGTGGCGGCTTGGGTGGGACGCCTTCAGTCAAACTGTCATCCCTTCCTGGGTCAAACCGACTTTCGGAGAGAAGGGGCTGCCGTAGTCTGCCTGGCGTCTGGGTGCCCCCGTCTTTGCGGTGGGGTGCTGGGGGGGTGCCAGAAACAACGTCCACCTCATTCTTCCACTCCATCTTATAGGACTGGGGAGCTTTCTTGGAGAACTGCTCGGGCAAAAAGCGCCTGGCGCGCGGCTGAAGATTGAGCACGGTGGTTCCAGCATCAGCATCGGAGTCACTGCTGTTGCCATCTGTCACAGAGCAAAAGGACAAGGTGGCAGGCATTTTAGAGAGAAGGTGTCCACAAGTGACTTCAATATCTTAGTGGGTCAGGCAACCACTATTTCCCATGCCCTGGGGAGGGGAGGTCAGAGGGCTCGCTCTAAGACGCGACCTAGGAATCCTTCATAACCGCTCAGAGCATCCATTCCCACCAGTGTGTATTCCTACTAACTCCGAAAGGCTTGCTGTGTGCCACTGCTCCAAGCACTTCTAAAGACATATGCCCATTTAATCCTCCCAATCACCCATTCTGCAGGTGGGGTAAGTAGACTCACGAGATATTTGTAAGTGGTGGAGCTGCAATTGCATCTGAGACCCTCTGGCAGCAGAAGCTGTGCTCACCTGCTCCACATGGGTGATCCCAGGAGGGCTCGGCTCAGCCTCCCCGCACATAGTAATGTCTATTTATTATCTGCTATGGTGAAAATTCTTGCCTTGATCTGGCCTCTCATTCACAGCTTTGTTGATTTCCTTTATATGTTCACAAAAGGGCCAACACACTTTGCAAACAAAGGGTAGAGGCAGGATTAGAACCAGATTCAGGGGCTGGAGTTCTGTGAGTAGGGCAGCCGATGGGATGCTTGCCCAGGAGCTGAGATTCTTGGGAACTGAGGACATGTTTGCTGGTGGTACCATGGACCATGGTTCTAAATACTCAGCGCTGCCTTGTCTTAGTCTCACCTTACCTTCCATTACTGCTAGCCATCATTCGACTTCCCTCGTCTCAGTTAATTAAGTAAAAAAGAAAAATTAAAAAAGAGTGAAAGGAAGGTAATTATTGTTACATCCCACATTTTCGTAACATGAAATCCTAACATGATCCTTCTGGGGTTACCCAGACAATAGCTTGGGCGTCTACATAAAGACTACCATCACGTAAAGAGATATTAGACCTTATAATACAGTTTGTATCATTGTAGCCAGAAGTAAAATATATATTCGAATTATTGTGGAAATTTAATTACTTACACATTACAGCTTTCTATTTACCTGTTCACTAAACCCATGGTGACAATATTTGCTGTTGCTATATCAAATAGACTCATTATGGAAAGTAGCTGATTGGATTATTTAGAATCTGCACAGAAAACCATACGCAAAGGTTGAAATGTTCACAAAAGGTCACCCAATTATTATTTTCGATTTGCAAACTACTGAACTCATCCTTAATGAAGAAAAACAAGAAGTAAATCTCTCTCTTTTATAAGCATTAGCAAATGAATTTAAAGTTTTGTTCTTGTTTTGTTTTGCTACACTACCTGCATTAGAAATAGTCTTTTTCTTCTGTAGCTTTTCTGGAAGCTTTGTATTTTTAGGTAAGGATAAATATCGAGAGGTTGATGTGGAAGCCTGTAAAATAAATAGAAAACCTTATTTAGACCACACAAATAACACACATCATATGTTAAAAACAAAAACTTTTATGGTAAAACTTGGTGTTAGGAATCAAAATTTTAGTTCTTGATTCCAAATTACTTTGTGAGGGGCCGTAACTATGATATTTGAAATACCTACATCTCTTTCAAAATAGCACAGAGACTGTACCTAAAGAAAATAAAAATAAATGGGACCACTAGAAACAAGTCCACTAGGTCTTCTTAGAAAAAAAAAGTTATATGTAAAAGCTATTTGTATTTCTTAAAGAAGCATGTATAAAAATACTACTAGAAGGAATCAGACCTATATGAATGGGAAAGAAGGTATGTTAAAAAAAAAGCAGCACATTTGTTTTATTTACTCTAATAAATATTGAAAATGATAGCACAACAAAAAATATGACCATAGCTAACTTACTGACATTTTGAATGCCACAGTCTCTAAAATTTTAAATTAACTTTTAATTGACACGGCGACATTTTACACATAAAAAGATCTGCTTGTTCACATATAAGCATTTTGATCTCTGATAACCCATAGATAAGGAACGCCGTCGAAAAATTATATTATGATGTATTAATTTTACATAGCAGGTATTGCATCTTATTTTTAATAATTTCGATTTGCAAACTACTGAATAAATCATAATATAATTTTTCAATGGCGTTCCTTATCTATTGATAGAGCCCTGGACCCACTGATCCACGTGAGCCTTTCTACCATTCCTCAGAGATCATTGGCTGTAACCTCTCCCTGGAAAACTTAAAGATTTCTTTCCAGATTAAGCCTGGCCCAGCCTTCTGTTGAAAATTGTATCTTGACTGTCTCTTCCCTGTACTCCTGATCTCCTTTATTTTCTCCGTAGCACTTCCTGCCTTCTAACATAACAGATAATTTATTTATGCTATTTATTGCTGGCAGTCTTCTCCCCCACTAGTATACGAGGAAGGACCCAAAACACCAGAATTTATGTATGAAAATTGTGTACTCTGACATGTTTAAGCTTCTGTCACCTTCAAACACTTCGTCTGATGCACTACACCTACTGAAATGCTTTTTCCACTGCTCAAAACTGTTTTTGAACTTGTTAATTTTATGCTTGGCAGTGCTTCTGCTGTTTTTTGTTTTACCTTTGAGGACTTTTTTTTCATCCGTAGAAACAAAAAGAAGTCACTCAGGGTGAGATGGGGTGAACAGGTTGGGTGGGGCATGGGAGTCATGTCATTTTCGCTTAAAAACTGCTGAACACTCAGCAAGGTGTGGGCAGGTGTGTGGTCGTGGTGGAAGAACCAGTCACCTGTTTGCCACATCTGGGGATGTTTCTTCCACAAATCATGTCACCACCTTCTCATAACTTCCAGATAAAAACTTTGGTTGGCCGTTTGATCCCGGGGAACAAATTCCAAGTGTACTATAAGGGGTCTGCCCTTCAAAAAAAAATTCCGGTTTTTGGGGGGTCCCTCCTTATATGCATCCTACAAGTGTAGGCATCTGTCAGTTTTGTTCACCCATGTATTCCAGGTGCCTGAAACATACTAGATGTCAAGAAACGTGGGAAAACACTTTATAATTCTATCCTAGAGTTCCTGCCATCCAACTCTAAACAGCCACTTGATCGGGTTAGTTGGTCTGACCAGCTGATCAACAGAAGAGTTGGCTCCGCCCACAGAAGTCAGCTGCACCCCAGTTACCCTGCGCTCTCGATTCAAGCTGTTGTCTTTCCTAATGCTTTCTCGCAAACTGTGCCGCCGCCGAATCAGAATCTCCTTGGCTTGTCTCTCACTGGTGTCGGCCGTCAGATTGTGTCTGTTGTAAGACAAAGTCTGAAATGAAAACACATAAGGGACATTAAAAAAAAAAAATCATTCCCCCAGAAATTCCAAAACCGTGTTGTGTTTCTTTGGATTTGCCCTCCAGGAAGGCACTTACAACTTCTGTGCACAGCAAAAAAATTAAAATGAGAAAAGTTGATGCCTCGAATTTTGAAATAACTTATTCTTTAATAAAAGTCAGCGAATAAGTTTTTTTTTTTTTACCTTGAAAAGTGTGAGCTTCATAACTGAGTAAAACGACTGAATTCACCAGGTGCCTTGTCTACCTTGAAGTACTTTGTATGTACATAGTCAGTACTAACAGCCAGAAATAAAATACGAGTCATCTTTCTACAGTCTCTGTTGAATAAGAATTACTGATATAAAAACAAACCACTTTGAGCCACTTGGTGGTGCCATGTCCCTTTGATTCACTCAGACCTTTTCCTTTTTTCAACTGAGTTGTCACATTGAGAAAGCTAGTGCTCCCCCAGTGATGGTCATGTCCCAGTACAAGTAAAGTTCTAAACTAGGGCTGTCCATGGATTCCATTTTTTAGTTTTATAAGCTACAATGAAATGTGTTTCCTAAAATAAGTCGTAATGAATAACTAAGTTCATTTTCTGATAAATAAACATGTACTTCTTGGGACTATTCTTGTGTCCGGAACTTTATAGGTCCTGTAGAGAGAATCAAATGTCACACAGAACAAGGCTCAATCCCTGCCTTGAGGAGTTTACTATCTAGTTGGGTATCTAAGGCTAACGCAGTAATACAAAATCATAAAATCATGTGCTAAAATCACATGGTACAGTGAAAGCTCAGGTGCTATCCCGTTGAAATATAGAGATGGAAATAATAAGGTGGTTATTGGGAAAATCTTAAAAATTGGAGGCTATGAGCCAGCTGACAAGAAGCAGTGAGATGCCCCAAGAAGACAGCGAGAAAGCCATACCGGCCAAGGAATGAAAACAGAACTTCTTACTCCCTAGGCATTGGGGGAACAGAGGGAGGAAGATGTGAAAATACGGCTGGATAAAGTGGAACTTGGAGATAGAGAGCCCAGATTCTCAAAGAACAGCTTAGTTTCCAAGACAAACTCTTGTTGGCTTCATTCTAAATAGGAGAATGCTGCCATTAAAAGGTGCTTTAGGGAAAAGAGATGGGTAAGAATCATGTGGATGGATTTGGGAAAACCTATGGGGAGACCACCCAAGAAGCTGGAGAAATGGCCCACACAAGAGTGAGGAGGACTCCTGTCACACTGTGTGGCTCATGTGCCTTTGTGCCCTAATTTCTCCATCTGTGAAATGGAGACAATAGTAACACCTACAACTTGTTGGAAGATTAACTGAGATAATACGTGCAATGCACTGGAATGGGGCTTGGCAAATTGAAGACACTTTAATCTTTAGCTATGTTATTAGAATGAGGTGTTAGCAGACGAAATGAAGTGAAAGAAGTGACTCAGACGACACCTTCAAAGAAGAAACTACAGCACTTTATGAATAACAATGAGGATTAAATCCATTTAAAGTCAAGACTAAGCTATAAAGCTATTTCCTTAAAAAAAAAAAAGCAGTTCCTTTAGTTACTATTAGTCATCACATATATTTCTTTATTTCCAAACTCATAGCAGCAGAACCGCCAAGGGACCCAAGGCTTCAGCTATGGTGTCCAGGAGGATAGTAGGACCCAGTGGACCCTGAAGGATAGTTGAGGGAAGGAGAGAAGATGCCCCATGCAGGCCCACTGAGGTTAGGGCATGGCAGTCATCCAATTACAGCACAAAACAAGAAGGCAAATACTTAGCCCAAGGTACATAAATATTTTGCTAAGTAAATCATTCTCACCCGCTGACGGATCTGATAGAGGTTCCTTGATAATATTTCTCGAATTTCATCCATTTCACCAGGTGTGAGCTTCCTTATTTTTTCTTCACGACAATCACTGAAAATGTAGAAAAGAATGTTTTATCTTTCAATAAATATTAGAGTCATTATTTTCTTCCTTAAAGACATGCTATTGTTTAAGAAGTATCTTAAGTTTAAAAATAGCACTCAGGAATTCTTCAATATTATTAAATAACTCAAAATTCTAAAACTCATTGTAGTGTCAAAATCAGTCACAATAAGTTTCATAATGCACAAATTTTCAGAGTTCATTCATGCCATCATTTTTTTAAGAAAGAAAAACTGCAGTGGCTTACAATGCTATCATCGATTATTTCCAACACTCCATAAATAATGTAGAATGCTTTCCTTCAACAGGATGTTATTAGCTGTATTCTATTATTAAGGCTTTGCATTTTAAATACCATTTTTAAATACCATATCATAAATGTTTGCAAATACCATTTAAAATAGAGTAAGTTCCCTACATACGAATGAGTTCCATTCCAAGAGTATGTTCGTAAGTCCAATTTGTTCATTAAGTCCCATAAAGTTAATTTAAATACCCAACTAACACAATTAGCTGTACAGTACCAGCTACCTCACCCCTACTTTTACACTTGCTTCTAGATATTCTGGGCTTGAAATAAAGATACTGTGTAATACTGTACTCTGTTTAATACCGTACAGTAAAGTACACAAAAACACAGCCACTTGTAAAGGATGCACTCATGTGACAATGCCTGCCAGACACATGAACTGACTTATGTGATTGAACATGTGAACGCACATTTGCATCTTTGAAAGTTCACAACTTAAAGGCTCATATGTAGGGAACTCTATGTATGTATGTGCAGTCAGTCCTCATTATTTGCAATTCCATATTTGTGAGTTAACTCACTTGCGAAAATTGATTTGTAAACCCAATACCAATGTCTCCAGCTCTTTTGCAATAATTCCCAGACATGCCAAGAGCAGCGACAAATTTGAGTCACTCAATACGTATTCCCAGATGTTGAGCCAGAAGACACTGCTTTCTTGTTTCTGCTCTCATGCTATAAATAATGTCCTTTTCACACTCTCTCCAGTGACATATTTTTCACATTTTAATGCTATTTTTGGTGATTTTGCTGTTTGAAGTGGCCCCCAAGCATAATGCTGAAAGCTGCCTAGTACTCCTAAGTGCAAGAGGCTGTGATGTGCCATCTTGTGGAGAAAATGCGTTAGGTAAGTGCGATCACACATGAGTTACATTGCTGTTGACTATGAGTTCAGTGCTAATGAATCAACAATATATATTAAGCAAGGTGTCTTGAAACACAGACATACACAAAGGTTACATATTGATTGGCTGATGAAAATTTTGCGATCAGAGGCTTGCAGGAACCTAGTCTGCTACGTCCCCTGGGAACAATAGTTCAGTATTTGCAAATCAGTGTTTGAGGCTACTTCATAGAACACAACTACCACAAATAACAAGAATGGACTATATTTATATTACTTGAACTCCTTCCAAAAGGCTTTGAGGCAGCCAATAAAAATATATAGTACAATAAAATAAATAGATAAGAAAAAGTTAAGGAAACTAAGGCTGGGAAGGTTAATATTCATAAATGCTGGTCTTACAACAGGAGCACTGAGGATACACAAGTTAAAAAGTACAAACCTGCCAATACTGTAAACCAATCGTAACAGTAATTACTGGGGTACAAAAACTTAGTGCCCATTCAGCAGGTAAGGAATACACACAAAGGAATACACACAAAGGAATAAACACAGATTTAATACTTCAGCAAGATAGACTTCTCTAAATTTAGATAATTCCTTTTTGCCTCAATCTCAATTGTTCAGATGATTTTCTTAAGAAGCATCTATTTTAGGAAGAGGTATTGTTTAGACAGCTGTCCCAATTGCTAGCCAGGGCTTTTTGATCAGCAAAGCTGATCCACAGAATTTTAGAGTTGGAAGGAACATAAAAGGTCATTAAGTAACAATCTTTTGATATTTGATTTTCGTGTATAATGTTCCCACCAAGTTTTACCAAAAAATGTTTGCACACAGCCAATGACAAAGTGCATAACTATGTCCCTGTTTATACTTAAATGCCTAAATCATTAATTTAAATATAATATAAAATGCATGAATCTTACATGTTCAAAAAAGTGAACATATGCAACCACTGCTGAACTCAAGAAATAGAACATTAACTGTAACGCTCAGAAACCACTTCATGTCTCCTCTCATCAATCAATACTTCTCTCCCTTTTTGCCAAAGGCAATAATTATCCTGACTTCTAATATCAGAGATTCATTGTGCCTGAATTTGAGCTTTATATACGCTGAATAATATGTCTTTTGCATTTAGTTCTTTGGCTTATAATTATGCTGAAGATCCATCTGTGTTACTGCATGTATCCAAGTAGCTGTAGTTCGAATTCATTTTCACTGCTGTATAATATTCTGTTGCATAAATAGAACACAATTTATCCATTTTATTGTTGATGAATATTTGGCTTAATTTCAACTTTTGGACACTGTAAACAATGCTCCTATGAGTATTCTTGTGTATGTTTTTTGGAACACATACGATTTTAGCCATTTGCGGGTCCTATTTTGTAAAGTAACCGAACAAACCATCTTGTCCGTTATTATGTAGGATAGTCTTTTTTTGTAAGCTTTATGCGAGGCATGTATCTTCTCCCAGTCTGTGGTTTGTCTTTTCACTTCCTTAATTATGTATTAGGATAAACAAAATATCATTATTTTAATATACAATGTATCAATCTTTTCTTTTATGGTTCGTGCTTTGGCGACTCATTTTTTAAAAATTATTTCTTATGAAAACACTAAGAAGATATTATCCTATATAATTTTCCAATGATTTATGTTTCACTGCTAACAGTAAGATCCACAGGAACCTTGACTTGTGAGGTTGTGATCAATTTCACCTTATCTCCATAAGGATATCTAATTGACCAGAACTATTTTTTGAAAAGGCTCTCTTTTCTCCCCTGCTTGGACTGTACACTTTGCCATTCATTATGTGTCCATATATGGGTGGGTCTGTTCAGAACTCTCTATTTAGGTCCACTGGTCTATCTGTTCCGATTCTAACATCACATTGTCTTAATCACGTGGCTTTCTAAAGAGTCCTGTTATCTTATAGTGTAAATCTTCCAAATTTGTTCTTCAAAATTATATGGTTAATTTTGGTCTTTGATATTTCCATATAAACTTTAGGACCAACTTACCTAAACACACACACACACACACACACACACACACACACACACACACACACACACACTCATGATTTTGAATGCTATTGTTTTGAATATATAGATCTAGTTTAGGAGAATTGAAGATTTTACAATATTAAGTATTTCTCTTCTTCAATAAATATTGTCGTTATCTGTTTTGCACTCGATATGTAGCTTTCTGTGTGATACTTCACACATTTTCTCTAAATTTGGTGTTAATGTTAGATTTGTTTGATGCTGATGTATATGACATCTCATGGTGATATTGTAAATTAAACATTTTTAAAAAGTCATCTTCTATCTGTTGATACTTATAAAAATACCACTGATTTTTCTCTCTTTTTTTTTTTTAAACATGTATTTAAAGGCCAGGATAAATTTACTTATGTCTATTGATCTGTAGATTCTTTTGAATTTTCTATGAAAACAATCAAGTCGTTTGTAAATAACAATGATTTTATCTCTTCCTTTCCTATTCTTAATCTTCTTTATTTCTTATTTTTGCCTAATACTGGCAAAATATTAAATATAAATGATACTATCAGGCATCTTTGTTTTGTTCAGATTTTAGGGTAAATCTTTCAGCATTTTAACATAACAAATCTTTGCCATAGGTTTTTTGTGAATAAACTTTATTAGTTTAAGGATGGTTTATTCTGTCCTTAGTGTGTTTATGTCTTTTTAAACAAAGAATAAATATTACATTCATCAAATACTGTTTCTGACTCTATTGAGGACAGATGGAAATCTATAATTTTCTCCTTTATTCTGTTATAAAGTGGTGAATAACTTTGATTTATTTATGACTGTTAAAGCAGCACTGTATTCCTGAAATAAAACTATAGTGATTGTGATGTAGACCCTTTTTATAAAACCCTAGTTCAGGATCGCTAATATTTTGTTAGAATTTTTACAGAAATAATATGAGTGCAGTCGGTCTATAATTTTCCTTTCTTTTAAAAGTATCTTTTTCAGGTTTAGTATCAAAGTTATGCTAGTCTCATAAGATATTTGGGAGGTTTCCTTCTTTTCTTAGTATCTGAAAGTGTTTATGTAAGATGGGTATTATTTCATTCTTAAATGTTTGATAGAATTCACAAATGAAGTCATATTGGTCTTAAGGTTTTCAGTGTAGAAAGGGTTTCAATTACAGATTTATTTTCTTAATGCTTAGAGAAACTATTCACATTTTCTAATTATTCATGGTCTTAATTTATTGTTTCTTTTTCTAATTTCATAGCCTGAGTGCTTAAATTATTGATTTTCAACCTGACTTCATTTTTAACATTTGCATTTATGGCTTAAAATTTTCCCTTTAAATATGTTTTTATAGAAGATTTGATGTTTCATATTTTCACTATATCCCAATTCAAATGTCTTTTTATATCTATTACAATCTTTTATTTAATCCAAATTTTATTTAACTTCTAAAATACAGAAATATTCTTGTTTTTATTTTGTTATATATTTTATTTTAGTTTTGATTCCCTTCTGGCAATAAAACACACTTTGCATAAAACTTTGTAAGGCTTATTTGTCTATTGATCATGGTGTTAACACCTTCTGTATCCTTACTGAATGTCTGATTGCTTAGTCTATCAATTATTGTGAAATGTTATAATTTTTCACCATAATCATAAATGTGTATATTTCTATTCTGCTTCTGTCAACTTTTGTCATATATTTTGAAGTTATTTTCCTATTTGTACACTAATTTATAATTGTTATATATTCTAAAATTGAACATTTATCATTATGAAATATATGTTTATCTCTAGCAATGGTTAAATTTTCTTTAATGGCTACTTTTCTGATAATATATTTTTATATTATTTCTTCTGTGAAATATTATACAAATATTTGCGATATTTTGTATTAAACTTGTTTTTGTTTGCTACTTTCATAGTGTATCTTTTTTCATCCTTGTATTTGTAAACTTTTCTGTATTTTTATATAGAAGAAATATTTCCTATAAGAAACGTCTAATGAATTTTATGGTTTTATCCATTCTGGTCATCTCTTTTATAATGTTTTTATCATATTTTTTGTCTTAAGATTGTTTTTGTTATTTAATTACCCCCTCTCTATTGGCTTGTCAGTTATATTCTTTTACTAGTTTTTCAGTGATTGCCTTGGATTTCAGCATTAATCATCAACTTATTAGAGTCTAAAATAAATTATTCTTTGTATAATTTTCTGGACAATATAAAGACCTTAGAACATATTAAAACCTTGCAATTTATAAGCTATTATTGTCATTAGTTTTAATTTTATATGCATTTAAAACCTCATAGTCATTATTACTATTTATATTATGATTTAATGTATTATTTCTATGCCTTTAATTCCTTCCTTCATGTTTAAACTTATCTATGAGATTTTTTCCTACTGTCTTTACATTCTTTCATTTCTCTCTTTAATGTTAACTTTTGTGTGATTATTTTGATTTGTTGGAAATACTTTTATTCTATTTTTTGAATGAAATTTTGTAGGGTATGGACTAGGTTGATAGTTTCTTTCAGGACTTTGAAGATATCATTTGTTTACATTACTTTTGTTGAAAGTCAGATGTCAGTTTTCTTTATTTTCTCCTTCAAAGAAAATGAGTATTTTTCTTTCTTTTGTGTATGTTTAAGAATTTTCCATTCTTTGTTTGTTTGGGTTTTTTTTAGCAATTTTACTAGTATGTATCTAGATTTGTCTCTTTATCTAATCTGCTTGAGGTTTGTCATGCTTCGTGTCTTTTAAATATTTTGAAAAAGTCTCAGGCAACCCCTTCAGATCCCCTCCCACTGTGGGAGCTTCTCTGTCTTCTCAATAAATCCTGCTTTCTAAAAAAAAGGGGGGAAAAAGAAAAAGTCTCAGCCATCTCTTAAAATATTGCTTCTGCCAATTTTTCTGTAATCTCCCTCTGAACCTTTTCACCACATCCCATACATTTAGTATTTTCTTTTCCATATTTGCTATCCTTTATTCCCCTTATACTTTATTCTAGTTATATCCTTTTTGCCTATCTTCTAATTAATCAATTATCTCTTCAACTGTGTCTAATCTATTTCAGTCACACTCATCAAAAGTGACTCTAAATTCAGTTACCTTATTTTCAGCTAAATAATTTCTAGTCAGAACTTTTTATTTTAAATAAGCAATGACAATGCCAAAAGTGTCAGAATCATTTTCTTTATTTATTTACATATACATAAATTTTAATGTCCTTGTCTTATAACTCAATATCTGAATCCCCTTTGGACCTGTTGCAACTGTTTATTTTGTTTCTCGTTTTTTTTTGTTGTTGTTTTTTTTGAGTTGGAGTCTCACTCTGTCGCCCAGACTGGGCTGGGCTCTGGCGACCTGATGGGCTCTGGCGATCCTTCCGCCTCATTTTTTTCATTGTTTTAGGTCACATTTTCTTTTCTACTCATAAGTTTGGTTATTTTTCTTTGGTTGCTAGATATTAATTATTTATGAAAAATTACAGAGGCTCACAGTTTAAGCCTTTTTATAATCTTGTTTTGCTCCCTATAGCATTTAAATTTGCTTCTCTCCAACATCTAAAATAACATAACATAAAGCATAATACAACATAAAACAGAATGTAATTTAGCATCCACGTTTCTAGGCTTTCACATTTTAACCAAACTCTCATTGTGTTGTGAGATCTTAAGGCATCTCTCTAAGGCATAGGTCAAATTTTGTTATTATGACTGGTTTCAAGAAACTATCGGTGCATATTTAATAATACTAACTTTTATTTGTACAACCATACTTACTTTAGAGATGCAAAAGAAGGGACGGTACTTATCATCCCAGTCTCTGCCATCTCAATGGCATGTTTTATTTCAAGCTTTTTGTATAAGGACACAATGCTTGACTTGGGTTGGTTTTCCCGAATCAAAAGCTTCCGCAGGTATTTATCATCAAACTTCTTAAACCTGTAAATAAAGGCAAATTCTCAATAAATTAATACTGCACTGACCAAGAAAAAAGTTGATTTCCCCCAATAAAATCATTTCCACTATTCCCAAGAAAAAATAAAAAGCAGTAGCAACATTTAGCTAGTCTGATTATTATGTGTATTTCATATTTGCACTCATATATCTATATAAAATTTCACATATATTGTATACACATTTAACCAGTTCGTCTGTAAATATACATATATAAGTATGCAAATATATATTTTTATATATAACAACAAATGTTTTATATATATATATTTTTGTACATTTTTGTATATGACCATGATGCACATATAAATAGTATTCAGTAATTATAGATTAAAATGTATACCATTTCTCTACTTCTCCTTTCAGCAAAATTACTCAGAAGTGTTGTTACTACTTGCTGTCTCCCATTCCTCTCCTCTGATTCTCTCTCAAACAAAGTCGTGTCCCAGGATAAAGGTCACATGAAGCAGAGTTGACTTACCCCAGTTACACCAGACAAGGCCAGCTGGAATCAGCTGACAGAGAGCCAATCCACTGAATCATAAAAAAAGTCCAACCCAGATCAGCCAAGCCCAGCACAGTCCAACTCGTCCTCGGCCTCTTGACTCATGCACTTTTTAATTTAATTTTATTTTATGTTTTGAGTTGAAGTCTCACTCTGTCACCCAGGCTGGAGTGCAGTAGCATGCTGATCATGGCCACCAAAGCCCTGACCTGCTGGGCTCAGGTGATCCTTCCGCCTCAGCCTTCCAAGTAGCACACCACCACACCTGGCCTTCCAGTGTGTGCCTTCCAAGGCACACCACCACACCTGGCTTTCCAAATGTGCCTTCCAAGGGCACACCACCACACCTGGCAAATTTTTTTTATTTATTGTAGAGATAAGGTCTCACCAAGTTGCCCGGGCTGGTCTCAAACCTATGGGCTCAGGCAGTTCTCTTGCCTCGGCCTCACAAAGTGCTGGGATTATAGATTGAGCCACCTCACCCAGCTGACTCATGCACTTTAATGAGATATGACTGCTATTTTGAGCTTCCAAGTTTTGGTGTGGTTTGTTACACAACACTATTATGCCGATACAGAAATGAAACAGCATGCAATAAATAAATATTTGTTGAGAAACATTATACATGTACTACAGTGATCACCACAAGTCCCAAAAGGTTTACAGGCACACCTGTGTCATGAAAAGAATCAATGTTAACCACATTCTTGGTGTTTTTTTGTGCTAAATAATGGAAGGCTCTCAATACTTAAATGAAGTCATCCTGAATGTGCTTTGCTAATAACTGGCCACTACACTAAAGACCCGTCTACTTCTTTCTTCTTTTAATTTGAATTTTATGTTAAGCCCATTCAGCCAGGACTGCTGACAGCAACAGAACCTCTTTTTTAACTTCCTTGATTGTCATTATTATTGTCTTAGCCTTTCACTAGAGATAAGCCAAAGAAAGACCAAACATTAAGAACAATAGCATCTACTCTATTTCATGCAGGAATTGTGGGTTTTCTTTGCTTCGTTTCCATACCTTTCATTTATCTGCCAAGCTACACATAGGCATTCTCTTTCACCATCATTAGACTGCTTTTGAGAAGATGGAGAAACATCCCTACTGTATTACCCTTTCATTTATTTCTCAAAGGATCAAATACCTTAAGAATTCTATGGCAGGACCACTGGAGATCTATAGCATAAGGATTTCAAAGAAAAGGGAAGGACATCCAACAGGTCTAAAACAATCACTTGTTTTTTGATGCCATTTTTAGTAACATCAACACTTAGGTATGTACCAGAGATGTGATCTGAGCAGAACCGATTTTTAAAATGGCCCATGTCAGCGCTAAATTCCCTCACACCCACTTTCCCTGCTTCACCTATGATACAGTGCCTGTGAAAATCCGGAATACTATTTGCAATTTACCTGGAAAAAATTTGTGCATGGAAGTATATAATGCTTCTGAAGTTAATGAATGAAGTATATCCACCGCAGTGACAAATGTTAGACATATACCAACATTACCTTTCGGACATGAACCAAGGTTGGCGCTGCCATCTTCGGCACCTAGAGCCCTCATTAGCATGGCAGCCTTTAGCTGTGTGTCTATAAGAGGGTCATGGACCCCAGAGACAGTGTCTCTGCCTGAAAGACAGATGTAGCCAGACTTTCTCTGACATTCCTTCACCTGAGCTCCAGACCAAACCCACATGACCGCAGTGTCCGCCTCCTCCTCCTTCTGACTGTGTCCCAGGGCCAGGTGACCTGATAGCTATGCCAACTCATATTTTTTATCCTTCCCACCCCCATTTGGGAAGCAGAGGAGTGGTAGAAATCTTGAACTTAATCTTCACTGTGGAAAGGGAACACACTGTTCTGGGTTAGGCCTCTCACATGTCGCTTCAAGAAAGCGTTAAGCGGAGGCTAGGGAAAGTGAGAAAGTGCTTGGGTTGAAAGGGAGAAGACAGGTGAAGCATAGACATGGCTATGAAAACAGTGGAGAGAAGAGGCAAAAATAAAATGTTTCACTGGCTTGGCACAGACAAGGCCCCATCATGGTGGGAAGTTACCAGGATAGAGTCAAAAGGCAGACCTATAGGGTTCTCTGGTCTACCACCTGCTTCCAGAAAAGTGAATACTTCCCAAGAGAAATGTCCAGTTTTTCACATTTTGACAATGCATATTTTAGTTTATTTAACTTTATCACCTTGTGCTCCCATGTGGCTAACTGGACACCCTCTCCATACAAATAAAATACTTTTCCTTTAGTCATAAAATAAGGGGAATTTTCTACGTTAGTAAATGGTGTCGTAAAGCTTGTAAAAGTTGTTCTAGCACTGGAAGTCTTTGTAACTCATTGTATTACTTAATGATATCACATACACAGAGGAGTCTGTTTGCTGTGTGATTGTTTAGCTGTCTATTATGTTGCAAAACTGTGAAGGCCTGGGGCTAGGGCCTTGATATTAAACCATCCTGTATGAGCTAACAAGAGAAAGCATTCAAAGATTCCCTTATGCTAAATTGTATGAATTGATTAAGTTGGTCAACTTTATGCAAATTAGCAGCAGAGGAATCAAAAATCTGTTAGCAAGTTAGGAAATAAAAGGCAAGCCAGATCCACCAAATATAGCTTAGAATGTGTTCTTCTGTCTTCAGGGACCAGCTTAAATGCTTCTTCCTTCAAAAGGCTTGCCTAGTCAGTGAGGGGCTGATAAATGTTTAACAAATTGCTCTATGAACACAAGGGCTCTGATATGTAGCATTTGTCAGTTCCACGGCATGAAGACCCCCCACATGGCTGATTGAAGCAACCACAGGAAAGGATGCTGAGCCCATGCAGTCAGGAAGAGAGGTCACAATGAGCTCCCCCAGCCCATGAAGGCTGGATCCTGGACCCCACTGTTCCTAGCTCTGCTGTCAGAATTGATCTCCACTTCTTGATCCCAGAGCTCTGTTTTTCTGTTTATTTTAAAGCACGCATCCCATTCTGCCTGCTTCATTTACCTTTTCCACTTCAAGTTACAAGGCCCTTGAAGATGGGTATTGAATTGCATTTACACGCTACACGGCCTTTTACAAAAAGGTAAACTCTGCGTGTATGTGTATTTATATACATCTGTGTAATCTTTCAGATAATGACGGGGCTTATAAATATATGTGTGTTATTTCTGTTAGTCTGTTTACATCCTTGGGCGCTCTGAAGCTCTGAATTTGATAAAGCCCCTCACCACGAATAGCAGAATGGATAGTAATGGAACCCCCAGTATTTATCATTGAATCAACTGTATTTCTCAGCCTCCTTCAGAGTGAGGAATGGTCACGTGACTGAGCCATGGCCAATGGAGTGAGTAGAGGAGTCGTTCGGCAGCTCCTAATAGCTTCAGTTGGAAGGCAGCTGGCATATATCCTTTGTTTCTTTCTCTTCCATCCACCACACAGCCTAGAATGGTCACTGCTGATGCCGCCATTGTGGCCCAAGGGGCAGCCTTGGAGGTCGAGGCCACTCTTTGTGGATCAACTAGACAAAGGGTCCTTGGGGAGACTGTGGAGTTGAGCTCCCCGATTAAACCTAAATTACCTAACTCTGGCGATTTGCATAAAAAACAAATAAGCTCCCACCTTTTTAAGGCACGGTTATGCCACATCTCTGTCACAGCTGAACTTTATCTTAAAGCACACACTATGGTACAACACAGAAAGAAGGACCTGGAACTCTGAAAACAATAAAAGTCAATGTGTCCTGAGCCAGAGTGATCCAGAGCTATTGTATAATGGCATAAGACTTTCTTACTTGTCTCTCCAAAAGTTGTGACCCCAGTGTCCACAAACGTCTTCAATCCCAGTCTTCACATGATCAAAAAACTAAAACAGAAAAAGATGAATTGACAGTTTTTACCTGGAATCAATAATCTTCACGCTTGTATCATGCCTAGATTCCAAAGACCCCGATAGCTTTCATTCTTTTCTTTGTATTACGAAAGCAATAAAACAACAGTTCATCATCAAATTACTGCTGAAATGTTTGCATATCCGTATTAGGCAAGTCTTAGATTATTTTGCTCATCATAACAGTTTGCACATAATTTTGGGAAAAAAGTGAAATGTAATCATTTGCCAGTGGAAACCTTTTTCAGGTTGAAGGAAGTAAAATGAAGAGACTTGTCCCTCTATTCATGCAGGAGTTCAGCACACTAACTTTGAAAAGCTGCCATGGGACTCTTTGTGTTCTATAGTTCCCAAGCACACACCTTCCCAGGCCTCTCTCCCTCTCACCTGCCATTCCTCTCTTCTCCAGGAAATGGCCCGTCTGGAGGAAGACAAAGAGAGAGACAAAGAGAGAGACAAAGAGGGGCTGGGAGAGAGAGAGAGAGCCAGCCAGCGAGAGCATTTAAATTGTCAACACTCTGTTAACACCTACCCGACAATGAATTTCTTCACTCACAGCTTGCTGTTTCTTATTGGACCGCTTAACATCAAGAAACTCCACCAGAGGTCGAATAGTTATTCCCTGCACAGAAAAAAAAAAAAAAGAATTTTCATATAAAATACAATTTTAAAACTTAAGAATTCCTTTACCTAAGCTTTGACAACCAACAACAAAACATATTTTGTTTCCAAGATAGAACACAGCAGATGTGACCATTTTTCATTTTTTTCTTCTTGGTATATTTTTGAAGGACCATGTACCAACATAGAACAAGGGAAAACATGGAAGAAATTGGGAAAGCAATCCTAAGAAATAATAAAGCAGTATCCAGTTCAGAAGAATCACATATTTTTTGTTTTATCCATAGAAAACTTTTCAATGATTCATTCATTCATTTATTAAAACAATTTTAACTGAGCTTTGAGTGAATGCGTGTGGGAATCCTGGCATCTGAGACACAAAGATGAAGAGGTAAGGGCCTTAGCTGTAGGATTTGTTGCATTTTACGAAGTCAGACACATCCAAAAAAAGTTACAAAGTAGGCAAAGGAGGAAGGACAGAGATAAACACTGGAGTGGGTCAAGGAAAGCTTTGTAGAGAGGAAGCGCTGCATAGGAGTCTTAAAAGATGTTGGAAACACACCAGAACAGCCCACAACACAGCAAAGAATCAGCAGTGAGAAAGGGTGCAGAGTCATCAAGGGTAAGCTTGGGAAATGAAGGAAACTATGAGCTATTCAATAAACTTAGACGAGGAAAACAAATTCCTTAACACAATAAAAACTGTCTACTAGAAACCTATAGTGAACAACTCACTTAATAACAAAACATTAAAAGCCAGGGACAGCACAAGGATGCTCTCTATCTGCTACGTGGTACAGTTCTGCATGTCTAGTCCATTATGTAAGAACAAACACAGAGACAAAGAAGTGATAGAGATATATAAATACTGAAAATGAAGTGATGAGATTTCTGTTGCTTATGAATGATCTATTTTTGTCCTAAAAAACCTAAGAGATTCCTTTTTTCATTGAAAAATAACAAGAAAGTGTAGTAACTAACATAAAATCAACATGCATAATCCATCCCATATACTAAATTTAAAACGTGACAAAACAAGCAACTATGCATTAGCAATGAAAAATATAGAGAGAATGTTATATACACACACATTGGTATACAATAACATATATACTATATAGATACTAAATATACATACACTATATATTTTGTCTCTCAATATACATATAACCCTATCATAAGTCCATAAAACCTTTACAAAGACAACCACAAAACTTAACTTAAGAATATAACAAAGATTTGAGTTTTAAAAAGTTACCTCTGGTTCCTAGATGGGATAACAATACAATTATAATGATGATTTCTCTCAACCGACATGCATATACAACATACCTGCAATAACATATTCCTAAAGATTTGTAACAGAACATAAGAGGTTGATTTTAAATTAACGTAGAAGAGTAAATGTAACCAAAAATTTTAGCAACAAGAGAAGAAAGGGAAATTTATAGATGGCAAAACAAACTTTTAGCTAATATACTTTCAAGTATATGATACTGGCACAAAATAGGGTGACTGTGGAGAGAGCAAGAGTGTGGAATGAAAGAAACCTCCCGAGTTGGCTGCTTGGTAAGTAGATGGTCACCACATCCTGGAAGGCAGAATGCATGATTAGGAAAGGTTGCTGGGTTTTGGGAGGAGGGCTGGGTATGTGGAGGTGTGTTCCCAGCCATGCATTTGATTTTCATCTCATCTCACCTGTGCCCTGTCTTTAAAAATGCTTTTGATAATGCAAACTAGCGCACACACACACACACACACACACACACACACTTTTCAAAAGAAGGCCATTGATTTTATTCCATCAGTCCAGCTCTGGGCATTTGTCAGCTTAACTTTCATTTTAACTTTCTAAAGTGTGAACTGATTCTGACCAAATTTGGTAAAAGACACATCTTGTGTTCTATTTGTATTCAGTCTGCCACTTTGAAATAACATATGAGGTAATAACGGTTTTCCAATCAACACATGTTCTGTAATTTTTAACTTATGTAAATGAAAACGGATATAAACGTGGTTTTCAATGATGGGATACTGCACTGAGTACCAGATTCCATGAAACCACTCGTTTAATAATAGCTTAAGGAAAAGTCGACAAAATATTGCAACTTTTAAAACTGTGTAATATGTTCTAAAGACATGAACTGATGCTTCATATGCTTCCCCCCCAACAGTGCTCATTTAGTAAATAACAAGTGAGTATTCATTATCTGTAAATACAACACATAAAAATAAAGACAGGACACAGGACCTGCCCATCGCTATGCTTATTCCTTCCAGCTGACAGACAGTCTAGATGTGAACCGTACCACAAATAAGTCCCAACTGGTCAGCTCCAGGAAGCAAGTGCAGCCTACCACCTCCATCAACTCGATGTTCTAAAAGTATAATATATGAGTTTATAATTAGCAAAACTTAAGAAATATGTGTTTGCGTCAACAGTCCCTTCTAACAGTCACCCCTTTGCTCTCTTAATTTTTTGCTGTGGTCATGCCATGCTCCACAGGAATTACTGGACGAAGACTGCTTCACTTCCTCTCCCTCCCTTCTCCCTCTCTTTTCTTCAATCCACCTATTTGGATGGCAGGTTATGTGGCATTTGTGGATGCCATGTTAAACTCCCCAAGCTGGATGTTATACTGCAGGAAGCTGGGTCTCTAGTTGGGAGAGAGAAAGGCAGAGAGAAAGGCAAAGAAGAAGAAGAAGATCTTTGAGAAGGCACTTTGGAAAATTTCTAATTTAGGTCACGCTAGAAGCAACCTGATAAGGCATAGAAAAATGAAATAACTTGTTGCCATCTACACAGGATTACAAAAATAAAACCCGTAGTTTTCCATCAAACTGCTGAGAAACATATCTGCAAAGCATGAGTTAAATTTTCACCTGTTCATTCAGTTTTAGCACAATAAACCACACCTCAGAGTCAGGCTTGACTAAAAGAATTGCTTAACAGCAGGTACAGGGAGAATGACAGGGAGGTGAGACTCGCCTCCCATCTTGTTCCGTCTCTGCTCTCTTCCCACCTTGCATTCTCTGCTCTCGTTAATATGGCAAGGGAAGGAAAAAAAAAAGCTCCTGTGTGAGTCCAATAAGCATTCTTTTGCAAGAAAATTCGTTCTTGTTTTGTATGTCAGAATTAATGTTTGCAAAAGAGGTGGGAGAAGAGAGAAACTCCCTTATATTCCCTTGCTGATTTAGCAGGTAAATTCCAGAAAAACTTCAACAAACTTTTCTCGTGTATTAAAAAGATCATCATTGCTATGGTATCTTATGGAAGACCATTTTCATATCACACACTTGATCACAGGTCGCAAATGCAGTTGTGCAAACTGTATTTCTCTTAGAATGGGATAAGTGGAGTGAGGGCCGTAAGAGTGTCCCAACAGGTGTTGATGGTCCCCGTGGGTTTGGCTTTCTTCAGCACTTCCGATACCACACAGTGATCACTCCTTCTCTGTCTGACACTTCCCCTAACCCTGGCTCTCTGTGTACTTCGTCTTCAAGATCTCCCTCTTCCCTGCACAATCAGTATTCAAACATGCTGCAATGCTCCCATCTCTGAAAACCAGCAACACCAAATCCTTCCTTTGGAAGATATCCTCCTCTGGCCACTCTCCCCCTTCTCTGTGGTTCCTCAACAGAGTCACCTGTGTTTCCCGCCTCCAATTTCTATCTTGAATTCAATAGATTGGGGTTTTGTGTTTCCATCTGACCTAAAGTGCTCTTGTGAGGATGGTCACTTGTCAACGTACACCTGCATCAATGGTCCTCCTCCACTCAGTCTCTCTTGACTGTGCAGCTGCATTTTTCACGGTTGCTAGAACTCTCACCTCCCTGAATATATTCTTCATGTGGATTTGGAGGTATCTTCTTGGCTGTTCACCCATTTCCATCTCCTGGGCTGGTTCCTCACCATTCTTTTGATTTCTAAATATTGGTATGTTTCAGGGTTCAGTCCTCAGATGTCTTCTTTTCTATACTCTTTCTACACTCACTTCCTGAGTAATTTCACCAGACCTGTATGACTTGAAAGTCATCCATATACTGGGGAATCCCAAATGTTTATCTTCCATCTGACTTCAGCCAAAAATTCCAGACTCATATATATACAACTGCCTATCAACTTCTCTACTTGGATTTTTAATAGGCAAATGTGCATGTCCAAAGTTTACACATCCAAACTGAATAACTGGCGTCCCCACTTTCCAACCTAATATTCCTCAGTATTCTCCACTAAATTTAATGTCACCTGGTTACTTTTATCTTGAAAGATGGTTGCTCAGTCACAAATACTGAGCAAGAATACTGGAACAATCTTTTACTGTTCTTTCTCCCACACCCTAAATCATTCACCTACATTTTTCTCTCTTAAAAAATCCTGGCCAGGTGCAATGGCTCAAGCCTGTCACCCCAGTACTTTGGGAGGCCAAGGTGAGAGGATTGCCTGAGCCCACGGGTTTGAAAACAGCCTGGGCAACTTGGTGAGAGCTCATCTCGACAATAAATACAAAATCAGTCAGGCGTGTAGTCCCGGCTACTTGGAAGGCTGAGGCAGAAGGATTGCCGAAGCCCAGCAGGTTGACGCTGGGGTGGCTATGAGTGTGCCACTGCACTCCAGCCTGGGTGATGGAATGAGACTCCAACTCAAAAAAAAAAACAAAAATTCCTGTTCATCTTGCTCATTTTACTGTGGGACCAGAACATATTATATCAAATTCTATGGAATTCTACCTAGTAATGGCATATGTTAATTAAATGTAAGATTAAGATTAAATATAAAGATGGTATCATTATAAAGCGTATGTCCATTTGTTTGATAAATGAAAGCACATTTAAGCGTCTTCACAAATAATGAGCACCATCAATCGAGTTTGAGAGGCCAAATTAGCAAAGGTTTATTTCATTGTTGTGAGAGGTCACCTGGCCACTGGCCCTCAGCAACTGCAGGGGGTGTCAAGAATGCAAAGCCTTGATTACTTTTTAATTTGCCCATTTCTCAGG